GCAATGAGATTGTTACCAAGACCAACCTCCCCATTACACCACATGTTAAAGTCAGTTACAACCACAGGAAAACTAACATAGATCAAGAAAGTCCTACTTATAGATTTTCCCCAAATAATCCAAAGCTGTTAAAAAAATATCTTTCATGGTCTCAAATAAGCCTGGATGTAAACTCAAATATCAGCAATCTAATCTGCACCAAAGTAGTTTGAAGAGCATGGGCGAAAAAGGGCTGGGGAGATGGTTATGTGGTAGGGGCATTTGCTATGAAAAGAAGAAGGCATGAGTTCAAATTCCCAATATACACCTAAATGCTACCCATGATCATAAATGTTTGCTGTCCCATGTTTGGGGTGGAAATCAGCAGATTCTTGGAGTGCAATGGCCAATCAGCAAGCCTAGCCAAAAGAGAAAGCTTCAGGTTCAAGGAGAGACACTGTTTCAACAAATAACATTGAAACTGATAGAGGAAGACACCTCAGACTCTACATTCATGCTTAATGCATACACATAAGTACACAAATACACCACATAAAAATGTGTGAGAGATGGGCTGGAGAGATGGCTCAGAGATTAAGAACACTTGCTGTTCTTCCAAAGGTCCTGAGTTCAATTCCCAGCAAACACATGGTGGCTTATAACTATCTATAGTAATATCTGGTGTGCAGGCAGAATGTTGTATAAATAACAAATAAATCTTTAGATAGACAGATATCTAGATAGATAGAAAGATATCTAGATAGATAGATAGATATCTAGATAGATATCTAGATAGATAGATAGATAGATAGATATCTAGATAGATAGATAGATAGATAGATAGATAGATAGATAGATAGATAGATAATGTGTGAGAGAGTAGGCTGAATCTTTAACTAACCATTTTTAATTATAAGCTTGCTGCTATTGAAATAAAAAGAAGATAAAATTCGGTATTTTATGCCACAGAAATTCGGATTGTTTTGTTTTGTTTTGTATTGATTTGTTTTTTTTTTTTTTTTTTTGGCTTGCCATCTGCAGTCTAGACATTAGCAATGCAGTAGTTAAGTATGAGAACCAAGACCTGCCCCAAGAGAACTTAAATTTTAATGAAGAAAATAAAAAAACAAACATCTTAGAAAAGTAATTGTTTTAAAGACTCATATGTAATATGAAAGTCGTAAATAGAATAATATAAAACAAAATTGACAGGTGTACATGGACAATTTTAGCAGAAGACAGTATTTCAACTTATATTTATGTGGTCTTTCTAGATATTCTGGCTTTCCCCTTTCCAACAAAAAAGAGAAAACACTTTCATTTCAGATTTGATCATACATGTTCAGGGTGGTATGACTATAGACATATTTTAATTTTAGTATAAAACTTTCCAGCATTTGGGTAGAAGTTATAATTTCATCTCTTTAATTATTAAATACTTAACTTCAGACATCAACTACAGATTTTTTTCTCAAGAGCATTAAAGTCCATCCTTTACAGTTTATTGTTTGAAAAGGCATGATGATGAGTTATTTGATAAGAGTGACTTCCAGATTTATTTTAACAATGTGATTTGACAGGATGGCCCAAGAAAATAGAAAGCATCATGTCTTAGGCTAGTTTATTTTCTATAACAAAGAAACTTCAAAAAATGGTGCTGGTCTAATTGGATGTCAACATGCAAAAAAGTGAAAATATATCCATACTTATTACCCTGCACAACACTAAAATCTAAATGGATCAAAGACCTCAATATAAAAACAGACACACTAAACATGTTAGAAGAAAAAGTGGAGAAGAGCCTTGAACTCATTGGCACAGGAGACAACTTCCTGAACAAAATACCAACACTTCACCCTCTAAGATCAACAATTAATAATTGGGACCTCATGAAACTGAAAATATTTTGTGAAGCAAAGAACACTGTCATCAGAACAAAACAACAGCCTACAGACTGGGAAAGGATCTTCACCAACCCTATATCTGACAGAAGGCTGATATCCAGAATATATAAAGAACTCAAGAAGTTAAACAGCAACAAATCAAGTAAGCCAATAAAAAATAGGATACAGAGCTAAACGGAGAATTCTCTCTAGAGGAATACAGAATGGCAGAGAAATACTTAAAGAAATGTTCAACATCCTTAGACATCAGGGAAATGCAAATGAAAACGACCCTGAGATTTTAACTTACACCCATCAGAATGGCTAAGATCAAAAACTCAAGTGACAACACATGCTGGAGAGGATGTGGAGAAAGAGGAACCCTCCTCTGTTGCTGATATGAATGTAAACTTGTACAACCACTTTGGAAATCAATCTGGTGCTTTCTCAGACAATTAGAAATAGCGCTTCCTCAAGATCCAGCTATACCACTCCTAGGCATATATCCAAAACATCCTCAGGTATACAACAAGGACATTTGCTCAACAATGTTTGTAGAGCTTTATTTGTTATAGCCAGAATCTGAAAGCAACCCAGATGTCCCTCAGATGAGGAATGGATACAAAATTTTGGTACATTTTCACAATGGAATACTACTCAGCAATTAAAAACAAAGAAATCATGAAATTTGCAGGTAAATGGTGGGACCTAGAAAAGATCCTGAGTGAGGTGTCCCAGAAGGAGAAAGACACAACTGGTATATACTCACTTATAAGTTGATACTAGATTTTTAATATAGGATAATCATACTAAAATCTATACACTTAAGGAAGACGATCAAGAATGAGGACCCTGGGTAAGATGCACAATCTTCATTCAGAAAGACAAATGGGACTGACATTGGAAGAAGGAGAAAACAGGAAACAGGAGAGGAGCTTATCACAGAGGGCCTCTGAAAGACTTTACCCAGCAAGGGTATCAAAACATATGTTGAGATTCATGGCCAAACTTTGGACAGAGTGCAGGGAATCTTATGAAAGAAGGAGGAGATAGAAAGACCTGGAGGGAACAGGAACCTCACAAGGAGAGCAACAGAACCAAAAAAAAATCAGGGCACAGAGGGTCTTTTCTGAGACTAATACTCTAAATAAGGACCATGCATGGAGATAACTTAGAACCCCTGCACAGAAGTAGCTCACGGCAGCTCATTGTCCAAGAGGGTTCCCCAATAATAGAACAGGGACCGTCTCTGACATGAACTTATGGGCTGGCTCTTTGATCACCTCCACCTGACTGTGGAGCAGCCTTACCAGTCCACAGAGGAAGACAAAGAAGCCAGTCCAGATGAGACAGGATAGACTAGGGTCAGATGGAAGGGGAGGAGGACCTCCCCTATCATTGGACTGGGTGAGGGGCATAGGAGAGGAAGAGGGAGGGAAGGTAGGATTTGGAAGGGGATGGGGAGGTAGTTACAGCAGGGATACAAAGGGAATAAGCTGTAATTAATAAAAATAAAATTAAAATTAAAAATTCTTTAGAAAAAAGAAACTGATTGGGCATGGTATAAAGAACAGAAATATATTTTTCACACTTCTGTAGCATAGCCTAGGAAATCACAGATCAAGATGTATGCAAGTGATTACCTTAGTTCTCTGTTTTCAAGATGGTGCCTTAAAGCCTATGTCCTCAAACAGCAGAAGAGCACAAAAGGCCAAACCCATTCATTCAGGCCCCAATTTGCAACACCTGACCACCTCTCAAAAAAACTATATTGGAAATTAAATTTCCAACATGTGAAATTATGGACACATTCAAGCCACAACATGCAGTACTCAGGCTGTGTACCTGAATGTATGCTTTATCTTAGGATGCTAATTCAAAACTAAAAATAACAGTGACCATGCAAGTACGATTATAGGGAAGGGAAATGGAAGAAGTGGAAAGAGTGCTGGGGGAAATGAATTCCTAAGACCAGAGCCCCAAGACTGGTGAATGTCAAAGATGTGTGGAAGGCCCTGTTGTCTGACAATTCCTATTAGTATCTGATTGACAATGTCAAGAAGTGACAAATAGTATCTCAAAATAAACCCCCTTCCTAGTTAGGCAAAATTGTAACACAAGCTTTGATTGTGTGTTTTGAAGACCATTTTAGTAAGAATAAGCCAGAAGGAATGAGATCCCACTGGTACTTAAGGAAGGAAAAAGGAGCTGCCATTGCATCAATAACATAGGCCCAGAGAATGCTTGGGAAGGTTGAGAAACACTCCCCTACTTTCCGCCCACCCCTATTCCTCCCCATTGAAGCAAGTGACAAGTTTTATTTATTTATTTTTCTTTTTTGGTGTATATAGGTATATGTGGTATGCATGCATGTGTGTATAGGTGAACATATATATGTATATGTATATATATACATATATATTCACTAGTGTGTGCATATATATGTTTATGTGTATGTGCTTGCATGTGCATGTGTAAGCCAGGGGTTGACATTGGGTGCCTTCCTAGATTGTTCTCCACTTTAGTTCTTGGGGCAGGTGTATCACTGAAATCCAGTTCCCCAATCAGCTATGTAATCCAGGCCAGATTGCCTCAGGACAGCCTGTCTCTGCCTCTCAAGTACTGGAATTAGAGGTGACTACCACACTTGATTGTTATTATGTGGGTTCTACAAATACATATTCTCCTATTCAGGCTCTGAAGGCAAGCATTTACCTACTGAGCCACCTTCCAAGCTCGTGTGGTAAGGTTTAGGACAGGACATAGTGTCTTTTAAAAGAAGCAATCTTCTTAGAGTGGATTAGCCCTAACATAAAGATGGTTTTGAAATAAAAGATAAGATTCAAACAGTTTTGTGGAGATGCAATACTTCTGAAAAAAAATTTCTTTACAAAAAAAAAAAAAAAAAACCTGTAGGGATGTGATTGTAGTTGAATGATAGAGCATTTGCCTAGCACATATGAGTTCCTGGCTTCTAATGCATACACCACAAAAATACTGGCAACCAATGAGGATAAGTTCTAGAACTGTCAAGAGGATCCTAATGACTTTTGAAACATATTTATATGGCAGACTTAACTTTTTTTTCTGATATTATCAAAATGTTTCCTTTTTAATGTGATTAAGAACTATGTAAAAGTGCTACCTTTGGCAGCACATATACTAAAACTGGAACTATAAAGAAAAAAAATAGGATGGCCCATGCACAAGGAAGACACATATATTTCTGAATAGTTCCATATTAAAAAAAAAAAAGAATCTGAGCTATAGAATATACAATGGAAGAAATAGATGTAGACATCAAAGAAAATGTTAAATCTAAAAACTTCCTGAAACAAACCATCCAAGAAATCTAGGACAACATGAAATGAGAAAACGTGAGAATGATGGGAATAAAGGAAAAAGAAGATTCCCTTCTCCAAGGCCCAGAAAATATTTTCACATAATAATTGAAGAAAATTTCCCCTATTTAAGGGAGAGGCCTAAAAGTATACAAGACACCTACAGAACACCTTATAAATTAGACCAGAAAAGAAAATCTTCCCACCACCTAATAATCAAAACAGTAAGTATACAGAACAAAGAAAAAATACTAAAAGCTGCAAGGAAAAAAATTATCATGGCAAATCCATGAGAATCACACCTGACTTCTCAACAGAGACTACGAAAACCAGAAAGGCCCGAAAGGATATCATGCAGACCCTAAGAGAACACAGATGTCAGCCTAAGCTACTATATCTAGCAACATTCTCAGTCATCATAGGTGGAGAAAACAAGATATTCAACAACAAAAACAAATTTAAACAATACCTACCCACAAGTTCAGCCTCACAGAAGATAATAGAATGAAAAATACAAACCAAGAAAGCTAACTACATACAGGAAAATACAGGAAATAAATAACCTCACTACAGCTAAACCAAAAGTAGCCAACCACACGAGCGTACTACCACAACCAACATCAAAATGAAAGGATCTAACAGTCACTGGTCATTAATCTCTCTCACCATCAATGAACTCAACTATCCAATGAAAAGACACAGACTAAAAGAATGGATTTGTGAACAAGAACCTACAATTGGTAGCATACGAGAAACACACCTAAGTCACAAAGATAGACATTACCTGAGGGCAGAGTGCTGGAGGACAGTTTTCTAAGCAAATGGACGCAAGAAGCAAGCAGAGGTAGCCATTCGAATATGTAATGGAGTAGATTTCAACCGAAATTAATCAAAAGAGATGGGGAAGGATACTTTATACTCCTCAAAGTAAAATCCCATCAGAAAGACATCACAATTCTGAACATCTATGCCCCAAATACAAGGGTACCCACATTTGTAAATGAGACATTAATAAAACTTGAACCATACACAGATTCCCCACACATTACTACTGAGAGACTTCAACACCCCACTCTCAACAAAGGAGAGGTTAAAAAAACAGAACTTAAACAACAACAACAAAAAAAAAAAACATTGAAAGTGACCCATGACATGAATCAAATGGACCTAACAAACATCTGTAGAACCGTTTAGTTTACCCAATCACAAAAGAATTTACCTTCTACTCAGCACCTCTTGGAACCTTCTACAAAATAGACCATATAGTTGGTCACAAAGCAAGCCCTGTTGAGGAAAATTGAAATAATCCTCTGCATCCTATCTGATCACCATGAACTGAAGCTGGATATCAACAACAACAAAAATAGCAAACAGCATACACACACTTGGAAACTAAACAACTCGCTACTCAATGAAGCTGGGTCAGGGAAGAAATAAAGAAAGAAATCAAAGACTTCCTAGAATTCAATGAAAATTAAGGCACAACATACCCAAACTTATAGGACACAATGAAAGCAGTGCTAAGAAGAAAATACATAGCACTCAGTCCGTTCAAGAAAAAATTAAAAACAACTCATTCAAAAAACTTAAAAGCTCACTTGAAGCCCTAGGAAAAAAAAAAAAGAAGAAGCAGATACACTTAAGAGGAGTAGACAGCTGCAAATCATCAAACTCAGGGCTGGAATCAATGAATTAGAAACAAATAACACAATTCAAAGAATCAATGAAACCAAGAGCTGGTTCTTTGAAAAAATCAACACAATAGATAAACCCTTAGTCAAGTTAACTAAAAGGCAGAGAGACACTACCCAAACAAACAAAATCAGAAATGAAAAGGTGTCACAATAGACACTGAAGAAATCCAAACAAGCATTAGGTCTTACTTCAAAAGCCTATATGCTACAAAATTTGAAAATCTAAATGAAATCGACAATTTTCTTGATTGATTCCAATTACCAAAGCTGAATCAAGATCAGGTAAATAAATTAAATACTCCTATAACCCCTAAGGAAATAGAAGCTGTCATGAAAAGTCTCCCATCCGAAAAGAGCCCAAGGCCATATGGTTTCAGCACAGAATTCTACCAGATCTTCAAAGAAGAGCTAGCACCAATACTCTTCAAACTATTCCATAAAATAGAAACAAAAAGAACATTACCAAATTCATTCTATGGAGTACCAGTTACCTTTATACATAAACCTTACAAGGACCCATCAAATAAAGAGAGTTTCAGGCCACTTATGAACATTGATGCAAAAAAAGAAAAAAAAAAAACTTAAAAAAATATACTGGCAAACCGAATCCAAGAACACATGAAATATATCATCCACTATGACCAAGTAGGCTTCATCCCAGGTATGTATGCAGGATTAGTTCAATATATGAAAATCCATCAATATAATCCACCATATAAACAAACTGAAATTTAAAAAAAAAAGCACATTATGATCTCCTCAGATGCAGAAAAAGCATTTTATAAAATCCAATATTCACTTATGTTTAAAGTCACAGGGAGATCAGGGATTCAAGGAACTTACCTAAACATAGTAAACAAAATATACAGCAAGCCTATAGCCAAGATTAAACTAAATGGAGAGAAATTTAAATCAGTCACACTGAAATGAGGGACAAGACAAGGCTGTCCACTCTCTCCATATCTCTTCAACATAGTACTTGAAGTCATAGCTAGAGCAATATGACAATTAAAGGAGATCAAAGGGATACAAATTGGAAATGAAGAAGTCAGTGTATCACTATTCACAGATGATATGACAGTATACATGAGTGACCCCAAAAATTCTATCAGGGAACACCTACACCTGATAAACACCTTCAAAAAAGTAGCTGGATACAAAATTAACTCAAAAAAAAAAATCAGTAGCCCTCCTGTATACAGAAGACTGAAGCGCTGAGAAAGAAATTAGGGAAACAACACCCTTCACAATAGCCACAAAGGACATAAAGTACCTTGGTGTAACTCTAACTAAGCAAGTCAAAGACTTGTATGAAAAATACTTCAAGTCTCTGAAAGAAGGAAGAGATTACAATATCAGAAGATGGAAAATCTCCGATGCTTTTGGCTCAGCAGGATTAACATAGTAAAAATGGCCAATTTACCAAAATCAATCTTCAGATTCTATGCAATTTCCATCAAATTACCAACACAATTCTTTACAGAACTTGAAACAACAACTCTCAAATTCATATGGAAAAAGAAGAAACCCAGAACAGCTAAAACAATCCTGTAAAATAAAATATCTCCTCTAAGTATCTCCATCCCTCAGCTCAAGCTCTACTATACAGCAACGGAAATAAAAACTCCATGGAACTGGCACAGAAACCAACTGGTGGATCAGTTGAATCAAATAGAAGACCCAGAAACAAACCTACACACTGATGGACACCTGATTTTGACAAAGATGCCAAAACCATACAATGGAAAAAAGACAACATCTTCAACAAATGATGCTGGTCTAACTGGATATCTCCAAGAAGAAAAATGCAAATATTTCCATACTTATCATCCTGCACAAAACTAAAGTCCAAGTGGATCAAAGACTTCAACATAAAATCAGACACACTAAATGTTAGAAGAAAAAGTGGAAAAGAGCCTTGAACTCATTGTCACAGGAGACAACTTCCTGAACAGAACTACAACAGCACAGGCTCTAAGATCAACCATCAATAAATGGGACCTCATGAAACTGAAAAGCTTCTGTAAAGCAAAGGACACTGTCATCAGAACAAAATGACATACTACAGACTTGGAAAGGATCTTCACCAACCCTATATCTGACAGAGGGCTAATATCCAGAATATATAAAGAACTCAAGAAGTTAAAAAGCAACAAATCAATTAATCCAATTAAAAAATGGGTACAGCCCTAAACAGAAAATTCTCAGTAGATGAATACTGAATGGCAGGAAAACAATTAAAAAAATGCTCAGTGCCCTTAGTCATCAGGAAAATGCAAATCAAAATGCCCTGAGATTTCACCTCACACACATCAAAATGGCTAAGATCAAAAACTCAAGTGACAACACATGCTAGAGAGGATGTAGAGAAAGATGAACCCTCCTCCATTGCTGGTGGGTATGTGCTACTTCAAGATCCAGCTTTAACACTCCTAGGCATATATTCAAAATATATTCATGTATACAACATAGACATTTGCTAAACCATGCTCATAGCAGCTTCATTCATAATAGCCAGAATCTGGAAACCACCCAGATGTCCCTCAATTTAGGAATGGATACAGAAACTGTGGTACATTTACACAATGGAATACTACTCAGAAAGGAATACTATTCAGCAAAAAACAAGGAAATCATGAAATTTGCAAGAAAATGGTAGGAACTAGAAAAGATCATCCTGAGTGAAGTATCCCAGGAGCAGAAAGACTCACATGGCATATACTCACTTATAAGAGGATATTAGACATATTATATAGGATAACCATGCTAAAATATGTACACCTAAAGAAGCTAAGCAAGAAAGGGGAACGCTTGGTAAGATGATCATTCCTCATTCAGAATGCAAAAGGGATAGACCTCAGAAGATGGAGAAAACATGGAACAGGACAGGAGCCTACCACAGAGGGCCTCTGAAAGACTCTACCCAGCAGAATATTAAAGCAGATGCTGAGAATCATAGTCTAACCTTGAGCAGAGTGCAGGAAATCTTATGAAACAAGGGGAGACAGAAAGACCTGGAGGGGATTGCAACTCCACAAGGAGAGCAACACAACCAAAAAATCTGGGCACATGGGTCTTTTCTGAGATTGATACTCCAACCAAGGACCATTCATGGATATAACCTAGAACCCCTACAAAGATGTAGCCCATGGCAGCTCCAAGTGTTTTTACTAGTAAGGGGAACAGGGACTGTTTCTGACATGAACTAGGT